TCAAATCATTGCCATCACAATGATCGTTATAAATCAAATTTCCTTTTTCATTGTCATGTGTGATTCTTCAACAAATAGACCAAGAAAATTGTAATGTAAATAAATTATAATTACTGACACTATCGAAATCAAAATTGTATATGAAATACCGTGTATTATACACTAAATCCTCGTGTTATGCATTTGTCTCAATCAAAGTTAATTCCTTCCATGACATGTTATATGCTCATGTTATTTTACGTAGGAGCAAACCTATGCTCTATTCAAATATTCATATCGTCTGTCATATTGAGATAAATGAGTAATTATAGTAAATATTAATCATATTGTTTACTATCTTGTTTTACTTCCAAAAATACCTAATTGTTCTGGTTCCAATAGATTCGCAATTTCGTTATTATATTATCGTTAGTTATTGTTGAACCTCAATAACAGTGCTTTGACTTCAATTCATTCATTATATCTTGCTTCATGTACGTGATAATTTTTCATTCCATTTATAATACTCCTATTACCATAATCTATCATCTGAACATTTCCTATTATTTTCTTTATTATTAATTTTATTTTCTTTTCTTAATTATTTATGTTAGTTCCAAATTTGTTTTGCCAACATTCAACAAATAAAGTTTCTTCGTGACTGCTAAATATTTTAACTAATTTTACATATTCAAAGACTAAATCACACATTATTTAGTTTTATTATCACAATATTGATTTCGAAAAAAATCACAATTCAAGAAAACTACCGACAAATTTACAATACATTACATACTGATTTACTAACGCGTTTGTTTTTTTAGATTCATTTTCGCTTAACAAGAAACTCATGAGCAAATAAAATTATATGTAACATAGTAGCACACGTAACTAAACAGCTCAATAACATTCGGACGATTTAAAAAATAATTTAAAAAATGTCACATTCTAACAATTTTTTAGATTTACTAAAACACGAGTTATGCTTTTTATGTAGTGGATTGGCATGCGACACTCTACCAAATAGAAATAAGAAATTTGAATATAAGAATATTTGAATATTCTTTAAATTCAAGATGTATAACTTGATGTTGCCTTCTACAATTCTAGTATTCTATTGATATGTTTTAGATTTTGAGTTCTCTACATGGTGCACCACTAGTACTACAACCTGGTAATACTTTAATTGCAAGTATTACCTTGATAAGATTTCCATTAAAAAACATTGTCATAAGAGTATTGTTTCACTCATCTTCAGTTGAATTTTGGACTAATAATGAAATTGTTCGCGCCAAAAACGCAGCCTACATAGGATGTCGTAATTTACGATAAGGAGGATAAATGTGGACATATACCTTGTTCGTGGGCTCTCAATGCCCAGAAAACAACCATTGAAGGTTCATGAAATGATTGAGGGGTGTAAGCCCCTTCCTGATACTGTGAAATACAAAAATTGTTACGGGGAGATGAGTAGACATCTTCAAATTATAAACTAATAAAAGTATATGAAGCGAGGGCCGAGTTCACATCCTGTGTTGATGTTGATAGTGAACAGGAGAAAAACGAACAAATAGAGGATAGCCCCAATATAGAGAAAGGTAGGGTAGGGCGGGGCTAGTTGAGCAAATTTTTACTTAAACTGATGTAGCTTCTCAATGAAAAGTCTCAATAAATTGCTATATGGCTTAATGGATTTTTTGTTTATCGCTTAACAACAGTGTTAATACTAATTTTTGGTAATAAGTAAAATTTGGAAGCTACAGCTGTTTAAATGCAAAAAGTCAAGTATGCTCAATGTACCCCATAGGTGGGGCAAGTTGAGCACTAAGAAAGCATAATGAAATTATAGGTTCAATGTCGATTAGTGATGAAATAAAATAAGTTTTTAATAACCAGTTCTATATTTATAGTCTTTATTGACAGAGAAAACAAAACTTATAGTAATTTTCTTTGAATAATTAACCAAAAGTAGAATCAACAAATCAATATCGTATCTTAGGAATTATTTTACCATTATATTCAGTATTTTTGTTTAAAATCATTATTTCTTTATATTATTGCTCATAGACCTAGCTTAAATCTTAAAAATAATAATTAATTTCTGGAAGTTAATGGTAATTGTCTTAGTGACAGAACAATTTAGCGACTATGCTCAACTAACCCCAACTCGAAATTTCAGAATAAAAGTGAGTTTATAAAAAAACCGTGAGAAATACACCCAGAATCTCTGTGTATATTAAAAGTCCTAAACGGACGGTGAATAGTTTTCGAGATATTTCGATTGCTCAACTTGCCCCTATGCTCAACTAGCCCCGCCCTACCCTACATTATTTAATATCTTTATATCATATTATTCAACAAAACATTCATGTTAATATTTATTGCTGAAGTGATATGTAAAATTGAACATGGAGAAGTAGATGAGAGTCCCAATATGGAGATTGGTACATTATTTAAAATTTATATATTTAAACTATTTATTAAAATCTTTCAAAAATCCAATAAACAAATTCATTCGTCTCAATATATATGTCGCAGAGTACAAGTTGGATAGTATCATGAACACAAATGAAGGAAGACATAAGGGAGCTGTTGTCATATTTTATTTTAATAAATTTAATTCGAAAGAAAATTGGAGCACCCCTAAGCGACAAAGAATTTTTCTAAAACCATCAATTAGATTTACACCAGTTTCTCGCAAAGGTTTATGCATCTGAAAATTACAATAATATTAATTACATGTATTTTTAAAAACAAACTATTGCAGAGTGTCAAACAAAAACGCAGCAAGGCCTCCACCCCGAGTCCATAAGATGTATAACACATCAAAAATTTTGATACAGGAGGTGCGAAGAATTAATAAACAAAATACAAATTTACGGGACAAATTTCAGCAGAGCATCAAATGTGCTGAAAAATTCTCTTGTATTCCAGTTAAATACGACGTTAAATTTGAGGGCAAAATGGAAAAAAATTCACATTTGAAGAAAAAATTTTCGCATTGACATTTTATAAAAAGTCGCCAAAGACCTGCTATTTCTGGAGGCAAATATTTATATTGCCGAGTCTTCAAACTTGTAAGAAATTTACTGTCGCAAAAAAATAAAAGATGGCAGGCGACACGGACGACGCGGTTAGTTGTAAAAAATGTAAAATCGAATTTAATGGTGAAAAAATAGTGGGATGTGACGGAAAATGCAAAAAATGGTTTCATAAAAAATCTAAGCTAGACTAAAATGATCTTTGAATGAAAAGAATCCTAAAACATAACCCTAAAATGTAAAAATTAAAATAAGAACTAAATAGGCGCGTAATCAAAAAGCCAAAGCAAATAAACTTGAACGGACATAAAAAAATAAACACAAAAAGAATGAATCATAACGAAAAGCTAAAAAATATTAAATATGAAACAAGTCTACTTAATAAAAAACAATACGCCGACACAACGCTGATATAAAAATGAACAAAATGGCCGACGCGCTCTTGACATCTGAAATGCTTGACAGCTTGATATCAAACTTCGCCGGCAACTTCATGCTGGCTGAATTATGCAAAGTCTTAGCTTGATTTAATGCCTCCTTCTCCATCTTTGTATTTTTTTGGAAGATTTGTAATTATTAGCCTTGGGTTTTTTTGCTTAGTTATGTAGATTTCGTAATCCTTTCCAATTTCCTTATTCATGTATGCTTCAAGTTTTTTTGTCCCTTCTAAAGTTGTTGCCTTTATTAGTAATCCTCCCTTTTTAATTTTATTTACTGATTCAACTTTTACATCTACAATGAACAATATAAAGTAATAAGTGAGTGTAAATATATAAAATGGGTGTGTGAAATATGCGAAGCGGAAAGTGAGGTTAGAAACGCTCGCGAAAGTGACATTTCAACAATAATGAATGAATTACAAAAAATTAAAGACGATTTAAGTAGTATTAAGAATAAGAAAGAAAGTTATGCAATGATTTGTAAAAGTGATAGTGAAAAGCAAGATGAATATACGCAAAATAAACCCCCTTATGTTGAGGCAACTAATATGCCGGGAATAATAGTCAAACCAAAGAAAAATCAAAATAGTCTAGACACAAAAAAAGAACTAGAAACGAAAATAAACCCGAAGAAAGTAGATGTAAAAGTTGAATCAGTAAATAAAATTAAAAAGGGAGGATTACTAATAAAGGCAACAACTTTAGAAGGGACAAAAAAACTTGAAGCATACATGAATAAGGAAATTGGAAAGGATTACGAAATCTACATAACTAAGCAAAAAAACCCAAGGCTAATAATTACAAATCTTCCAAAAAAATACAAAGATGGAGAAGGAGGCATTAAATCAAGCTAAGACTTTGCATAATTCAGCCAGCATGAAGTTGCCGGCGAAGTTTGATATCAAGCTGTCAAGCATTTCAGATGTCAAGAGCGCGTCGGCCATTTTGTTCATTTTTATATCAGCGTTGTGTCGGCGTATTGTTTTTTATTAAGTAGACTTGTTTCATATTTAATATTTTTTAGCTTTTCGTTATGATTCATTCTTTTTGTGTTTATTTTTTTATGTCCGTTCAAGTTTATTTGCTTTGGCTTTTTGATTACGCGCCTATTTAGTTCTTATTTTAATTTTTACATTTTAGGGTTATGTTTTAGGATTCTTTTCATTCAAAGATCATTTTAGTCTAGCTTAGATTTTATACAATGTTTTAGTTATAATTTTGTTTTAAAAAATAATTTAGGCTTACATTTTACGCATAGGGTTACATTTTATTCATTATTTTTAGTCTAGCTTAGATTTTATACAATGTTTTAGTTATAATTTTGTTTTAAAAAATAATTTAGGCTTACGTTTTACGCATAGGGTTACATTTTATTCATTATTTTTGTAAGGGTTACGTTGAATACATTATTAGGTTTGGTTACGATCTTAACCTTAATTCAGTGGAAGCTAACTAAAACTCAACAAACAACAAATAGAAGGTTCAGTAAATGAAATAAAATTGAAACACTTCTGATGTTATAATACTAAACCAAAATACTTCATACTGTCTTGCAATTGACAGATATATTTCGTTTTTTCTGCAATATTTGCTATGAGGGAACAAGATATATTGTATTTTAACGTAATATATTGTCTAAGATAAAGGCTATCATCTTGATATTAGACAATATAATGATAATAATACTTGTTTGGCTGTGATAATAATGATCTTGACAGGTTTTAGCTGTCAAAGTTATGAATCCAATACATTTCAACTTGACGTCTAACTTCTATTTCGTCGCCAACTTCATGCTGGCTGAAATATGCAAATGTCAAAATTCTTAGCCTGATTTAAGGTGGTGTATTTCTTAAGGTTTTCACACAATTTATTTATTAATATGAATGAACATTTAAATTGAATAAAAATTGCAATGTAATTAGAATTGTGCATGTGGCAAATGTATTGTTAAATGGCATAGTTATTGATTTCACTAAATGATATAATTTACTTTATTTATTTATCATTTTATTCAAAGAAATTTCAAAATCTTCAAAACAGATACTACCTGGAAGTTTTTATTATTTTTTTATATAAAATTAAAATTATGACAGAGTTAAATAAGAGGATACTAGCTTTATTGAATAACTTAAAATAAATATAGTTAGACATTTTATTATCGCAAAATACAAATTTGCAATGGATATAGAAACAAAAGTCTGAATTTACCTGCATAAGCTGAGTAAGTTCATTTAATGCGGTTCTATAACTCTTAGTATTAAGAATTTTTCTAGATTGCGGAGGCAGCACAATACGATGCTCTTTTTCTTGCCTGCTTTTAGCCTCATGAAGATAGCCAGTTGGAAGAGCCTCTGAAAAGAACAATCACCAACAACATTTATTGATGAAATAACAAAGTTGTATGTTTAGCAAACTATGGAAGCAAAGTGTGAGTTTGCTTCATAATAATAAGTGAAACACAATTTTATATACAACATATTCAAAAATATAGCAAAACCAAGGACTTACCATGATCAATAAACATCTGGACCATCGACTGAATCCCTGAGTTCAGATTGAATTTGACTAGAGCCACCTCTGCATGATAATATTGGTTTTCATCAACAATATATGTAACTGTGTGCATTATGTTGAAAACTAACTGCGCAGGAGCTGTAATAAAAATTAAATTCAATATAGTATGTTCAATATTTTTAGTATGTTTAATATTATAGAATCAAATAGTATGATAATACACAATTTATAAGCACTGTTATAGGAATAAAAGAGTATTGTATTGAAAACTAGTTGTGCTAGAGCAGTAAAAGAAACTAAGTTCAAAATATGACTGATCAAGTTTGTGGTTTGTGGAGAATTAAGTATTAAGATATTATGTATTTCATAAATAGGTACTGCCATAGAACTGAATGCGCTCAACTTTCAGTCAGTTAAATAATTAGACCTACATATTGCAAATACATATTATATGATAAAAACCGAAAACAGAATCAAAGAAATAAGTTTTAGCCCCCACTTATAATTAGTAAACTAATTCGTATACCTGGTGAAGATCTGATTAAATTCTGGGTATACAGCTTTTTCTTTTTAATAAACTCCTGTATTCCCTGTTCCTTAAAATCTACCTCTGCCAAAAGCTTTCCTTGACAAGTTTTTTTTGGGGAAACAGTACTGTTGCCTTTGTTATAAATCGAGTTATTATTATTGGCAGAGACATTCGATTCTAGTTGTTGCCTATGTCTCTGTGCCATATGTTTATACTTTTTTTTTTCGGATGCTGACATGGTCCAAGATATTAATTTAAAGATAAGCTTAAACTATATCAAATTGTGTTGTTTATAAATTGAATATAGCAGTTTACCTCCCAAATAGGTACAGCGTCTTTTGCAGCGGCGTCAAACGTGGGGTAAGAAATATTTTCCAATGCTTTGGCTTTTCTAAATTCCGAAACAAATTCGCCGTATGCGTTTGGTTTAAATTCAGGCATGCTTAAACCGATTGTAGATATGAAATAAGTAAAAACTAAAAACTAAACTGCTTTTGCTCAAAATGCTTTGCTTTATAAGGAGCAAAATGTCACAACCTGCCACTTGTTGGGTTAAAATAATTTGAACGATAATCAGGCCCTATTATCTCAGTACAAAATCCGCGTTCACAACGCGTAGTTCCAGTCACAAACGCTATTTCGAAACTCATTTCTGATGTCCTAAAAAATGTTACAATCAATTCTCCCTATTATGTCAAGAATTCGTACCAATTTGTGAATTTAATTAATAACCGCAACATCCCTGAAAATCACTTATTTCTAAGCTTAGATGTGGTCAACCTTTTTACATGTGTCCCACATGAATTAATCCTAAACTCAATCGATAAACGTTGGTACACAATTTGTAACTTTACTGACTTTCCGAAAACAGTCTTCACTCATATTATCAACACTATTTTGAATTACTCCTATTTCCATTGCCAAGACAACTTTTATTCTCAAATTAAAGGCGCAGCCATGGGATGTCCCTTATCTCCCGGAATCATCGACTTAGTTTTACAAACACTAGAAATTTCCGTTTTCTCAACTTTAAAATTTCAAATTAACTTTTATATTAGATATGCAGATGACACTTTTTTTATCATTAACAAAAATCATATAAACACAGTACTAGATCTCTTCAATAACTTTAACAATAATATAATTTTCACACATGAACTACAAAATAACAACAGGCTTAATTTCTTGGATGTATCCGTTTACAACACTAATAACTTTATTCGAACAAATTGGTATAGAAAAACTACATGGTCGGGTAGATACTTACACTATTCCTCATACTGTCCCAGAAACTATAAGATAAACACTATTATTTCCCTTACAGACCATGCTATTTTGTTGTCTCGCCAAACTTTCCATCCACAAAATTTATCCCTAGTAAAAATAACTCTAATTGATAATTTATTCAGTTATTCAAAAAAGACGAACTTTTTTAAAAACACAAATTAATTCTCCCAATACCAGTACCAACATCAAAAACACCAATCTTATTTACTGCAGCATACCATACGTTGAAGATTTATATTATTATTTTGCCAAAATTTTGTTAGAAGAAAACATTTTAGTATCAGGCTCATCCTTACACTCCTTCAACCAATTCTTTACGAACATTAAATCCCCTACCCCATCCAATCTCAATACTAATGTAGTATATTCTGTTTCTTGTAATGACTGTGCTTTTCAATATATTGGACAAACCTCCCAATACGTACACAAGAGAATGAGACAACATGAACTAAGTGTGGTCCACCATAAACAAAACTAGTTGGTTTGGTATTTAGCCTTGAGGCAAATTACATGAACTTCCCGATATGTGTAAATAATCGACTTGATCAAAAAAATGTGTAAATAATATACTTCATCAATCCTACTTTAAAAAAAAACGATAATAATTTTAGCAAAGTTTGACGAATTTTTAAAATTAAACTACTTGTTGTAAGGCCGTAATATTACAGTAAGTTCTATAAGACCATGATGTATATCGCCAAAAAAAGTTCCATGAAAAACGGCTTAAATTTTTTTTTCAACAGTTAATTACAAGAAAACGGCTCGGTAGATTTTCACCTAAAATTAATCAGTACCATTCCCAAATGATATCTTTCGAACAGTTTTTGATTTTTCAAAATCGGTTCGGTAGGATGAGCTTAAATGTGGACGAAAGTTTAACACTTTTTTTCAACATTTAATTACAAGAAAACGGCTCGGTAGATTTTCACATAAAATTAATCAGCATCATTCCCAAATGATATCTTTCGAACAGTTTTTGATTTTTCAAAATCGGTTCGGTAGGATGAGCTTAAATGTGGACGAAAATTTAACACTTTTTTTCAACAGTTAATTACAAGAAAATGGCTCGGTAGATTTTCACATAAAATTAATCAGCATCATTCCCAAATGATATCTTTCGAACAGTTTTTGATTTTTCAAAATCGGTTCGGTAGGATGAGCTTAAATGTGGACGAAAATTTAACACTTTTTTTCAACAGTTAATTACAAGAAAACGGCTCGGTAGATTTTCACATAAAATTAATCAGCATCATTCCCAAATGATATCTTTCGAACAGTTTTTGATTTTTCAAAGTCGGTTCGGTAGGATGAGCTCAAATGTGGACGAAAATTTAACACTTTTTTTCAACATTTAATTACAAGAAAACGGCTCGGTAGATTTTCACCTAAAATTAATCAGTACCATTCCCAAATGATATCTTTCGAACAGTTTTTGATTTTTCAAAATCGGTTCGGTAGGATGAGCTCAAATGTGGACGAAAATTTAACACTTTTTTTCAACATTTAATAACAAGAAAACGGCTCGGTAGATTTTCACCTAAAATTAATCAGTACCATTCCCAAATGATATCTTTCGAACAGTTTTTGATTTTTCAAAATCGGTTCGGTAGGATGAGCTTAAATGTGGACGAAAGTTTAACACTTTTTTTCAACATTTAATTACAAGAAAACGGCTCGGTAGATTTTCACATAAAATTAATCAGCATCATTCTCAAATGATATCTTTCGAACAGTTTTTGATTTTTCAAAATCGGTTCGGTAGGATGAGCTTAAATGTGGACGAAAATTTAACACTTTTTTTCAACAGTTAATTACAAGAAAACGGCTCGGTAGATTTTCACCTAAAATTAATCAGCATCATTCCCAACTAATATCTTTCGAACAGTTTTTGATTTTTTAAAATCGGTTCGGTAGAATGAGCTTAAATGTGGACGAAAAGTTCAACACTTTTTTTCAAATTACAAAGAAACGGCTTGGCAGATCGTTGCACAAAACTGACAAACGATAGTTCTCACCGAAATACATCAAATGGCTTTTAAATTTCCAAAATCGGTTCAGGCGTTTTTGAGAAAACGTCGATCAAAAGTCTAATTTTGACAAATGCCAAAAAGACCATACTGATTTTTGCAAACTTTGACGAATTTTTAAAGCTGAACCAGTTGTCGTAGGGCCGTAATATTTTAGTATGACCTAGAAAACTATGGTATCTATCGTCAAAAAAATAATCATAAAAATCGTCAAATTTTTTTTTTTAAAAACTTTATTACAAGAAAACGGCCCGGCCGATCTTTACCAAAAACTAATCAGCACGATTCCCAACCAATATCTATCGAACGGTTTTTGAATTTTCAGAATCGATTCAGAATTGCGGGCTAAAACGTGGACGAAAAATTTTCCACTTTTCTGCAATTTACAAAGAAACGGCCGGGCCGATCGCCGCACAAAACTCAGAGACGATAGTCCTCATCGAGATACATCAAATGGCTTTTAAATTTTTGAAATCGGTCCAACCGTTTTGGAGAAAACGTCGATTTACGGCAAAAAATCTGTTCACACACACACACACACACATACACACACACACACACACACACACACACACATACTTTTTCCAAATTTGGTCTCATTGGATTCAGAATGGCTTGAAACGTCGAGAAAACATAAAATTAGCGAATCGGATTTTTTGATGAAAACATAAACTTCTCCTTCGGGAAGTTAAAAATTTCAAAAGTACCCTAGTACAACACTCTATAGAAAACGCCCATTCATTTAATTTCACTCCAAAGATTTTATATCATGAAAGTTGCATCTTTAGGAGGTTATTCGCGGAGAGTTGTCTCATTCTCATGAATGTTTCTAACAGTGTCAACATTAGATCAGATCACAACCTATTACATGATTCATATTTAAATTTTTTACACTTTTTGACAAACAATTAATATCGACTTCCTTTTAAGTTCAATAATTTAAATATTTACACCCTAACATGAAAAAACACACACATACAATCTCACAGTTCTCGTTTCAAGTGTTTACACGTGTTACATATGAACCAGCAAATATAATTAGTTCATTTCCAAAAGCCAATAGTATAACATCGAATACAATATTATTTGTTTTCAAATAATAATTTAAAAAAAAGACAACACTTTTAGTAATTTTGATTTACAAAAGTTAACTATTCGGCGGAAAAATAACTCACAAATTCATTTTTTGTCAAAAATTCTTGTTTAGTGAAAAAGTGCTAACGTATATTCAAACATGCAGGTAATTAATTCAATTTTATCATTAATCCTTTCTTAAAAAAATTTTCCATAACTTTCAAAAAATTTCTATCATTTTTAATATCCTGTTCTGATAATCCACTCATTTATTTTTATCATTTTCTTTTTGATCATATTATCATATTTCTGTACATTATTACTTGTTACAATTAATTTATTATTTAAGAAAAATCTATTTTCTATTCCTAAACATATTGTTTGCTTAAATCTCATCAAGATCATGTTTCTTGACAGATGTCCTGAAGATGGAACGTACCTAGTTCCGAAACGTTGACAGTAAACAAATAATTAAATAAAGAAATTGTTTATTAAAAACTTTTCTTGTTTTTTATTTTGTATTATTTTTGGATTCTTGTTCGAAACTCTACAAAATATATATATATGCTAGCTGACCCGGCAAACGTTGTTTTGCTAAGTTAGGTAATTCTAAGCAACTTCTAAAGAATAAAGAAAAAGAATACTTTATTTTAGGATTGTAAGGATGTATAGTTTGAATGGTACAGACAATGAGGTATTATAAACACAATAAACTTCAAAGTCTACTTGTATAATAATACATTATATAATTCATAATAACAATATTCGTTTGATCATATTTTGTTAATACAATCAAACTGGAAGTTTCATACACTTTCTACAAAAATATGGTATAATTCAATCCAAGTCTTTTTTAATCTTTAGCCGTAGTCAATGTTCAGTTGGTCATTTTTGCCCCACACAGATGTAAGTTTTTGAAGTGTTGAATCTCACTCAAAATTAACATTACATTTTATAAAACAATTAAATAGTTAAAATTTATATTAAGGTCTCGTGAACTAAATCACAGTGCTCACAACCCAAAAAACTAACAACAAAAGGAAATACTTTTGT